AGGATTTACAGAAGAGGAGACACTTTCAGCAAACAGCTTGGAATGCAGGATATAAGGGACCATGTCTCTGATGTTGTTAAACAGCAGATGGATGGGAGAGTATATCCATATATCTCTGCCTACTTTGAAAGAAATACAGATCATTACATAAAACAACTACACTGAGAATTTTCAGTTTAGAGAAAGGTGGAAGTATAATTGACATTAAATTTTATCATTATTAGACACAGTAAATTTATAATGGTTGTCCTTAAAATGTAACATAGACAAGAGACATTTTCCAGCTGAAAAGCAAAATTCAGTTACCTAGTTTCTGGTTTTTGTTAAAAAGTTTGTCATGCTTTAAACTTAGATCATCATGTTTGTTTTTTTTTTACTTTGAATGATTTGGGCTATAAATACTACTTCATTTCAAGTGCTGTGTACAGCAAGCAGCTAGTTTGTGTATTGCACATGAATTAACATATATTTCCATTTAGATAAATGTATTAAAACTTTTAAATATTTTAAAATATTTCCGCCTGTAATCTAAAACTGTACTTAATATTCTCCTAAAGTAGACTTTTCAATCTTACTGAATCTCTCTAATTGTCTATAACCTAGTGTGTGTGTGTGTGTGTGTGTGTGTGTGTGTGTGCTGACAGTTCTGGAGTTTGAACCCAGACCTCACACAGCTTGGACCATGTGTATATTTAAATGATCACATGTGATATCTATATTATTAATCTGACCTTGTGTGGTTGATTTCTGTACCATTCCCTACTCAGCCAAAAATTGATACTTAGATTTAAATGAAGAAATGAAATAGGGATGGAGTAGTGGAGATGAGGTGTAGTTTCATAAAAATGAAAGGTTGAGGGCTGGGAAGGTGGCTCAGTGGTAGAGTGCTTGCCTTGCATGCAGGAGGCCCTGGGTTCGATTCCTCAGCACCACATAAGCAAAAAAAGAAAAAAGCCCAAAGTGCAGCTGTGGCTCAAGTGGTAGAGCGCTAGCCTTGAGCTGAAGAGCTGAGGGACAGCGCCCAGGCCCAGAGTTCAGACCCCACGACTGGACCCCCCCCCCAAAAAAAATGAATAGTTGAAGGTTTCATTGGAAGAACAGAGAGATTGTGATATGCAAATGTTATCAGAATTCATTCTGCACGACTTAAATATGCTGGATTCAGCTTGGTTTCAGTCTCAGAAAAGTTCTCTTCGCCTAGAGCCAAAGTTCAAACACATAGGCTTTGCAAAGGTAGGGTAGGTATCGACAGGGTTGGCACTTCCATCAGGAAGACCAGAGGCTCTTCCTGAAAGGCATAGGAGATACTCCAATGAGGCCTGGAGTTGGTCTTGGACATCAGTATCTATCTTTGTAAAAGTACCTTGCCTGGCATTCATCGTTTCCTAATTTATCTTTCTACGCTTGCAGTTCCCTCTGATTCTGAGACCCAATATTGTCATTGTTCCTCCTAATCCCCAGCCCTAGACAATTTCGTGTGGTTGGATCTTAGCAGTGGTGAATGAGCAGCTTCTACTTAACAGAATTCTGTTTTGTTCAGTGTCAGCTTAGTGAATTAAGTTTGCTGAGCCTTAATTAAACCATTAATAATGTGGGTGATACATTGTATTGGTCAGGGTTCTCCAGAGGAACAGCAACAGTAATAGAAGAGAATAGGGGAGAGAGAAAGAGAGAGAGAGAGAGAGAGAGAGAGAGAGAGAGAGAGAGAGAGAGAGAGAGAGAGAGAGACAGACAGACAGACAGACAGACAGACAGACAGACAGACAGACAGACAGATACAAACACAGATACGGACACAGTCACAGAGACATAATTATGGGGCACTGAGAAACCTCACATTTTTAAATTTGAAATAAGCTAGACACCCAGGACAGCCAGTGATGGAATTCAGTCTGAAGGTCAGGTAACTAGGAAAACTGGGGATGGGATGGTATAAGTCTCAATAAGTCTCCACTCAAGCATTCATCAGACTGCTTTTGAGTTTATATAGGTAAATGCTCCCTTCATCTCCCTTCCTCCTATTTTCTGTTCCTGCCCTCATAGTATTCAATGATGCCCACTTATATTGAAGAGGGTAAATCTGCTTCACTGAATCTACCAGTTCAAATGATTATATCTCCCATAAACCTCTTCACAGACATATCTAAAAATAGTGTTTAATCACATATCAATCCGATTGACACACAAAATTAAGCATCTGGTATATTAATATCACTTATTATCTTTATTGTCCATACTTTTTAAAACACTTGTAGATACATTGATGTATTAATACTAGTTCTGCAGCAAGGTTCAGTTATGTCATTGTTAAATCTTCATGAATCTACATGAATATGAAACATTTTTATGTAGTCTCAAATCTGTAATACATATAACTCAGTAAATTTGGTCAAGACACATTGACTCCTAACTGAAAATCAAGTTCATAGATGTTAACTAATGAAGTAAGTTTACCTTTTACAGAAGTTCTACTTCAGGCAAGGGCTCTAATATCTGAGTCAAACCTCCAGCTTAAAGTTTTTTTTATTCTGAGGATCGCAGTTCAAAGCCAGCCCGGGCAGGAAACTCTGAGAAACTCTTATCTCCAATAAACCACCAGAAAATCAGAAGTGGGGCTGTAGCTCAAGTGGTAGAGTGCTAGCCTTGAGCTGAAGAGCTGAGGGACAGCGCTCAGGCCCAGAGTTCAAGCCCCACAACCAACAAAAAAAAAAGTTTTTTTTTTTTATTTAAAGATTGGCATAAGAAAAATTGGCATACATGTCATAGGGATTCTTATTGATAGTGTAGCAACAGCTTCATAAATAATCTTTACACAGAAAATGAAGAGAATGGGACTGGGAATGTGGCTTAGTGGAAGAGTACATGCCTAGCGTGCATGAAGCCCAGGGTTCTATTCTTCAGTACCCATATACAGAGAAAAAGCCGGAAGTGGCATCGTGGCTCAAGTGGTAGAGTGCTAACCTTGAACAAAAGAAGCTCAGGGACAGTGCCCAGGCCCCAGACCAGTTCAAGCCCCAGAACTGGCAAAAAAAAAAAAAAAAAAAGAAACAAGAAGAGGAGGAAGAGGAGGAGAATGGGGTAACATGTTTAGAGCCAATCTGCACAAATTCCATTCCTGAGTTAATTTGCTAGCACTGTGACATTGGGGGAAATTGACTTAACCAGTTTAATACAATTGAAATGAGTTGTATATATTAGAGGCTTAGAACAGTGCTGGACATATAATAATAGTTGCCTTTTAAATACCTATTGCGTGAATATTTGTGCAAAAGTAGTTTGATATAGCACTAAATGTATAACTCAACAACGTTTTACTGAGGGAAGAAATGAATGGATTATTTGCGAGTGTAATAGTGCATCACTGTCTAAACTCTGAAACAAAAAATAAATTATTTAAATATATTACATTATATACAGATATTTTTATAGTAAGTGGGGGGCACTTTTTACACAAGATTTCTAACTTTCAGGTTACTATTCTAAACAATTTTAAGTAAGTTACCTAGTTCATTTGAGTGGAGTAGTTGGTGTATGTACATTCACTTATAAAATGATTTGTTTTTATATCTATATGTGCATGAACCAACACATATTTTGTGTTCTTCATTTATGAACTTGCATGCATGCATAATTATAAAATGCAGTCTAGAGAGAGGAGTAAACTTATTCAACCACTGGTCACTCCAGCTGGAGCTTAGGTGCAAATATTGGTTATTACCTCATGAAAAGAGTTTATCTTTCCTGAAGTCTGGAGAGATGGGAGCATGATTGTGCCTCCCTGGGTGGCTGTGAATATTGGGAGACAATGGATGAGATATACACTGTGTCAATGTCCTGCTTTCTTCTTGGCATATCCACAATTCTTCATTATTTGTTTTATGGTATCTATTTTCCCAGGAATATCTTTATGAAAATAAATCAAAATAGGTATATGATATCCTCTTTAAATTCACGTACATTTTGGCTTACTAGATTATCAGAAATGTCTGCGATATGTTTTGATAATCAATTGATAATGTGATTTCAATGTGGTTATATGAAATAGTTTTTAGGCTATACTTTGCTAAATTAAGCTCCTTATTACAACAAACACCTAGATTTCCTTCACTTCCAGGTTACTTCTTTCAAACGAAACCTGTAATTAGCCAGAAGGTCCTAAGAGGAAATATTTTGGCCATGTAGAATCCCCAAATAAAAGCCAGTCAATATCATCTTGCTTACTATTGGCTAGACTTCTTTACTTATAGATATATGTGCACAATAGTAGACTTTTTAAAAAGCCTTCAATTGCTTAAACTTTTTAATATGTTACATTTTCATATGTGTACTGTGCTTTAGTTTGAGCTATGTATCACATCTACTCATTTAACAATTCTCATTTTACATTAGTTATTTACTAGATAGTGCTAGAACACAGAATCTCTAAAAAGTTGATTAAGGAAAAACATGATTTCCTTGTCCTAAACCAAAATGAGATTCCATCCAAGGCACATCAATATTTGATAAAAATGTTTTAAAATCTTCTTTTATCAGGTCTTTTCAGGCAGATTAATTCAGTATTTCCACCGTGCACTTTCCATGTGTGTTTAAAGAATATTAATGAAGTCAGACTGTCTATTCAATGAGGTCACATCATTTATTTTAAGATTAATTCAATAATTTTCTTGTAAAATTAGCTACAGTTTCCTTTTTCCAATATAAATACTGACTGAAACAGTACCTGCTCTTGGACAGCTTAAGTTCAATAAAACTTTCTCCAGTGATAGAAATGTTCCAAAATGTCTATTGGGCCCTCCAAATGTGGTCAATGTAGCTGAAGGAATGAAGTTTTCATTTCATTTCCATTGATCTTGATTTAAAGTAGAACAGCCACAGCTTGCGAGTTTTCATCTAACCCATTTTTTTTTTTTTAAAGAAACAGTTGGAATTACAAATAAAGCATAAAGTTTGTGAGCTTGGGCAATGCACTTCAAAGCAGCAATTTCATCCCTTCTTTTCAGTCTCCTGCACACAGTTACTCGAGCTATGACTCTGGCAAAAACGAGAGTGTTGACAGAGGTGCAGAGGACCTGTCACTCACCAGGGGGGATGAGGACGAAGATGACCACGATGACCACGATGATTCTGAGAAAGTGAACGAGACAGATGGTGTGGAAGCGGAGCGGCTGAAAGCTTTTAATGTGAGTCCTGCCAGCCCCCCCTTCCCCCCCCACCCCGTGTGGCTTTCCTTTGTGCCACGAGACTTTCATGTTGTTGCTTGTTGGTCAATGTGGATATTTTTTAGAGACATGTTTGTTTAATTCACAGAAGGATTTAAAAAGTACATGAAACACTCATTGCCAAGCAGACACCAGAATTGCTGTGTTTTGTTTAGAAATGTTAAAGCCAAATATGTGAGCTGAACACGGGAACTGTGTTGTGTGAGTATGTATGCATGTTTACCTAGAGGACGAAGCGGGCCGCAGCTTTTTCTCCAGATGAGATCCGGAGAAGATCGCCTGCCTGTCATCAGTTATTTCCTTTTGCTTTCCTAGCTTTTCTAATTGTGCATGACAAGAGAATCAAGTGTTCGTTGTCAGGGCAGGGTAGCACGGTGGAACGATCATATTGACCATTAATAGAGCGTTAATGGGGTGCTCAGTTGTCAAAGTGTACTGTTATTTTCTGACTTTTTTTTTTCTACACGATAGTCTATTCTGTCTGTCTTGTCTGTCTGTCTGCCTCTCTCTTTCTCTTTTTCTTCTCTCTATTTTTTTTTAAGAAAACCAACCATTTAGAAAAAAAATATTCTTTAAAGAGTGTTTGTTTAAACTTTCTGGCTTTCCATTGCGAACTTCTCCAGTGCATATACCAGAAAAGAATATTTTCCTATCGGTAATCAAGACAGGAAGCTAGGAACAGAAGAGAGCAGCCCTCCAAACCCTTCTCTGTCTCCCTCTTGCCAACAGATGTTTGTCAGGCTGTTTGTAGATGAAAACTTGGACCGAATGGTCCCAATCTCTAAGCAGCCCAAAGAAAAGATCCAAGCTATCATTGACTCATGCAGGCGACAATTCCCTGAGTACCAAGAGCGTGCCAGAAAACGTATACGTACTTACCTCAAGTCCTGCAGGCGGATGAAAAGAAGTGGTTTTGAGATGGTGAGTTCTGAATCACAACACAGCCCTAGATTCCATCCAAACCCCACATGTAAACCATGACACTATTTCTTTTTTTTTTCATCTTAAGTGTCTTTTTTAATTTATTTTTTATTTTTTCCATGATGTCAGGTCAAGGGGATTTTTTTTTTGTTTGCTTGTTTGTTTTTTCCCCTTCGCCTTCTCATCTTCCTGAAGTATTGCTTCCCTTTGTTTATTTACAATAAGGACGATCTTGGGAGACCAGGACTCACAGAACTGTGTGATATCATGTCATGGAACAAAATGAGGATGATACAAGTAAAGCCAAGGCAAAGCCACATCCTGTTGATGTTTGTTTTTTTTTCCCCCTCATTACTGAAGTGGGTGTGAGGTTGTTCAAGTCTTGACAGGAAGCAGCTGCCCTTGCTATAGATGGCTTATGAGAATGGCTGTCTCTGGAACCAAAGGAAATGGATGGATCCAACGGTTCACAATAGTAAGCCCCGATGATGACTATTAGGGAAGGAAAATGATGATGTGAAAACTAAGGCTTTGCTGCTTTCTGTGTTTGTAGGTGTACTGTGAACTTCTCCATTCACTTAAGCTTTTGAAGATGGGTGAAACGAAACATGTTAGTTTATGTTGAGTTGGAATAACCGGAACAGGGAATCAATGTTTTTGAAATCCACTCTATTATAACTTGTTCTAATTTTTACACATAGAAACTAAGCTTGCTTTTTTTTTTGTTGTTTTGAAACGTGTATGTGTGTATGTGTATGTTTGCAGAAATGTACTTGACATTTTCTTTCTTTTTTTCAGTGTTAGGAATCAAGCCTAGGGCACTGAATATCCTAGAAAACTGCTTCTCTAGCAAAGTAACTATACCAGTCAGCCAGATATGTATTACAGACATTTTGACATCATTTTTTTAAATACTCTGACTTGAGCAAGTTCAATGAAAGCATAGATTATTACTGTGTGTAGTCTGTGACTCTTTCTTTTATTATTTTATTGTAAGACAATAATTAAAAGATAATCATCTTTTAGTAGTTGTACAAAGGAGCTGCCATTAAACAAAGAAGTTTATGAATACAATGTATCTAATTTCTAAAGAGATAGTTTATTGATGTATGTCATCTGTGAGAATCTTGGAGATGTGAATGATAGGAACAGCAAAGATACTTACTAGAAACTCTTCTTTGTTGGCTTCTAAAAACCCCTTTGTAACTGTTTAATGGAAAAGTGACTACTCCTTATGGAGGAGAGCTACTTCTAGGAGGGGAAGAACATGTGCTGTCTTCCCAGAGAGCTTGCATTTGAGTTCTGGATCCACTTCTTTTGAGCTATGACTTGGACAACTTACTTCTAGTGCCTTTGCACAATTCTTCCTTAGAGTAAAATCATAATCCCTAGTCTTAGTGCTGTGAGAAATAATGGATCTGCTAGTTCCCAGGGTCTCATGTCAGGCTCTGCATGCATTCCCTAGCAAATGCTGTGCTTTCTTTCGATCTTAACTCTGAAAATACTATCAAATATTATTAAACTCATTACCTGAAGAAATATTCATTAAAACATGCATTATCTTATATAGAACATTCCAGTTCCGTACCTGTAGCTCTCTCAGGATACCTGCATTAGAGTTGAAGCTTGCAGTGTGTAAGTCTGAAAATAAAAATGATAAATGTTTAGTAAAGTTTGAGAGTAGATGTGGTATAGTAAGAGAGAATGAGATAACCACTTGAAATATATATATATATATATAGTTATTCTCTTACAGAATTTTTATTAAATGATCTGTGTAACAGGAGATAGATGTAAAGATATTGATAAAGGGCCACTTAGTAGTTGCCATAAAGTAAAAATAGAGGCTCAATATATTTTGGAGTATAGTGTAGTAGACATACATGATATAATATTTTATATCTTTCATTTTTAAAAGACAAAGTGATCGTCATGTAGAATGCTTTACTTGCTCTAAGGCATACTCCAGACATACAAGTTTTTCAGAGTTAATTGCCTTTTCCATTAATATATGTATTTAGGTTGAACATATAAATGCTGAAATGTTTGTGCCATGCATAGAAAGACCAAAAGCCGATTGTACAAAGACAAATTTTATAAACTAATCTTGAAGGAAATATACTGTAAATAAATTATATATTATTTAACTTATTTAAAATGTTTTAATTTATTTTTTGTTATCTTTAAACAGTTGCAGAAAGGAGTTACCATTTAACAAAGCAGTATTTGAACAAAATGTTTCACATTTCAAATTGTTCAGTATATTTTTCAGCTGCACAGCACTACACAGTAGTAAGAAGAAACATGATACTTCTTGCATGTTACTTAAGAAAACATACTGTGATATTTTTTGGTCATCATGACTGGTTGAGGTGATGAATTGTTTGGAAAGAAATGGTGCTCAAATAATACCAGGAAAGGCTGGCATTGCTGGCTCATAACTGTAATCCTAGCTACTCAGGAAGCTGAGATCTGAGGATTGTGGTTCAATGACAGTACAGGCAGGAGAGTCCATGAGACTCTTATCTCTAATTAAGCAGCAAAAAGCCAGAATTGCAGCTGTGGCTTAGGTGGTAGAGTGCCAGCCTTGAGTAAGAAAGCTTAAAGAGAGTACGTAGGCTCTAATTTCAAGTCCCAGTACTGGTACAAAACAAAACAAAACTAATAAGCAGTGCCTGGCTTTACATTAAGTAATGGCTGGCTGTAAGTTAATAACATAATTTAGCTCATTTTGTTTAAAATTTTTATATGTCACTGCCAATACCTACTTTCATTTTTTTTTTTTTTTTTTGTCAGTCTTGGGGCTTGAACTCTGGGCCTGGGCACTGTCTCTGAGCTCTTCAGCTCAAAGGTAGTACTCTACCACTTGAGCCACAGCGCCACTTCTGGCTTTTTCTGTTTATGTGGTGCTAAGGAATCAAACCCAGGGCCTCATGCATGCAAGGCAAGCGCTCTACCACTGAGCCACCTTCCCAGCCCTTTCATTTTTAATATGTTGATTCATTGTCACAAAATGTGAGTAGGATTTTGTGTCAGTTTGAATACATACCCTTGTACATAAAAACTAATTTTAGTTTTAATTACCCTTGTAATTAAAACTAAAATATTTTACACAAATATTTTACTAGGTAATTCTTAAATGTGTTAGCATTTAAGAAAATCCCACAGGATTTTTCAAAAATTGAATTCAAATTCAAGAATAAATGCTTTGTTACTGTGTTTTCTGTTGGTAGATAGGAAATAAAGGTTGCATTTTCAGTATGTGATTAATTTACATGCATATCATTCTGCAATACATAGTAAGCTAATGAGTAAAAAAGAGAAATTTTAATATATTTGTAAAATGCTTATGCGTGGACTTATCTAGTAAGGACTCCACATTTTAAAGCAAAATTCATATTCTGAAAGCTTAACTCTTTTAGCAACTTATGTTTCTAAGGTCAGAACACACCATAACTAGAAACACAAAAGTCTTGGATTATATTTTTCTTTTTACATTATGAAATTTAAATGGATATTTCTGTATAAGTGATATATTACAACACATATCAGCAATATGCTTATGTTAGCATTCACTTTGACTATTTTTTGTATGATTAATATAAAATTGAACACTATTAAATCATTCTACAGTATCCCTAATAATTTATATGCCAAGAGAAATACTTTTAATTGGCTTACTTCATTTATATCACTAGAATTTTCAAGACCCCACAGACTTTGATTGCTTAAGTGCAAACATTTATATTATGCTCCAAATTGTCTTTCTTATAAATGCAATAATAACTACAGTCTGATTCTTTTCTACACATGTTCACCAAGCCACGCTTACCAATTATCTCCAAGAATAAAGTTTCAGGGTTAAATAATGTATTTAATGAAAAATTAATCTAATATATTTGATCCAAAAAACGATTTCCATTTTCCCTTGGTTGGTTTTTAGAACTCAATGAGTTAAATCTCTTACATTAAACCATATATGTACATACTTAGATTTATATGTTAATATCAAACCATATATGTACATATTTAGATATATATGTTAACATATATACACACAAATACACATATATATATTACATGTTAAATGATCAAAGTGTATGAGTTACTTTATTTACTTTTTGGAAGAATAACTTGATTCTTTCAAAATGATACACACTTGTACTTAGTGTATTTAACTTAATTAAATAATAGCTGTAATGGGAAAATACATAAATAAAAGTTTTCTGAACAAGTTTTCTCACCATTACTAAGGGACCTCTGTGTTAAGTGGCAATAATCCCCTCTTGTATTCCTGACTTGGGAATTCTTGACCTTGCTCCATAGGTCTATATATTTCTGTAAAACTCAAGAGGAAGTGGCGCTGTGCCTCAAGCAGTAGAGCGCTCGCCTTGAGCTGAAGAGCACAGGGACAGCGCCTAAGCCCAAAGTTCAAGCCCCACGACCGACCTCCCCCCAAAAAAAAAACTCAAGAGAAAATATTTAGGAGACGTGTAATAAAAGAGACTTTTATTCTTTTATTCTTCATGGATTTCAAAATTGCCACTATACCCGGGTAGATGAGGTATCCTAGATACAGGAATCCAATAAGTTCCATTGGTTGGAAGATTTCATTCTTGGTTATTGTGACTATTTTATTAATTATCTGTTGCAGAAATAAGTGCCATGCAAATTTTTAATACTAAATTTTGCAAGAATGTTAATTATTAAGCTAGTAAATGCTCATTGGAAAAGACCTTATTAAAAAATCACTTTAGAATTTGATGCAAGAACAATTATCTTTTTCCCTGAGAAATGGAATTTCTTCCATCTGTTTTCATTCTTAGTATCTTTACCAATCTAAGGTTTAGAGCCAGAGCTCTCCAACATCTCAATTGCCATTGCTTACCTCCATGTATTTGTTTCCTTGCTAGATCTTATACCTACTTTAGAGAAAATAACCTATATATATATATATATATATATATATGTATATATACACATACACATATGTATATATA